GGTCAAATTTCCAGGTAAGAAAAAAGGAGCAACTAAATGATCGCCAAAAATACCAGCCCAAACATTTAATTTTTGTGGCTGCTGTGTATGAACCTCATGATAAATTCTGGGATTAGAATCGGACCAATATCCGTAGTTATGACGATTTACTACGCCATTTGAGAAAAAGGAACATTCGTCGGAAAAGCAAGTGTTGAATAGAAAATGTTCATCGTTTATAATTCGTTCACTCATATCTTCACAAAATTGTAATCGCCCATCAAAATCGTCTTCATTAAGTTCTTGTACCAGGTGAATTTTATACGGATGAAAACTATGGGCCTTTAGAATCCGTTGGATAGTACGTCGACTAACACCACACACAGTCTCCAATTTGCGGGTACTTAACGTAGGATCTAGATAAACTTGCCCTAAAACCCCATTTCTATTGCTTCGTTCCTTATGGGATTTTCAATGTTGCGTTTTATATTGGCGACTGACCCAGTTTCCTGAAATTTAGCTACACGTTCTAGAACATATTTTCGATGCACGTTACTGTACTCATGTCGATCATTAAATATTTCTGCTGTTCTATTAGCGCACTGATTATTTCCGAAAAATATTTCGATAATTTTAACTATTTCTGCTGTGGAATATACCATGATTAATTTATGTAACAAAGCGTTACAAGTTATTTTAGCAACAAAGTTTGGTCAAATCAATCGCAAACTATGTACTAAATTCCTATTTAAAATAAGTACGAGATATTACCTTATCTTTCTTCAAGAAATAACTTTTTGCCACAAGAAAACGCTCCAATAGCTATTTTCAACAACAAAATGATAAACAAACCATGGGCGTAGTGAAGAAAAGCATTTACTTATTAAGTAAATTCTTTTAGTCAAATTTCTTCTGAAAGTAGTACAAACTACTCTGATGTACCTATTAAAGTCTACTTTAAGCTTTAAATCAATAAATCTTCAAAACTACTGAACTGAAGTACATTAATTTTATATCAATAGAAAGGGAATTGGAAGACCTTTAAAATAAGGTATCACTGGACCCCTCTTTCCATTTAAGATTTTAGGGTTGGTGTCACCCCCGCCCAGGCGGCTGCACGTGTTAACGTGATTTTTTACCAAACTTCTGTCCCCCTCGAAAACAAAATCGACGGGTCTGAGCGTTTTTCGAAAAAAAAAAGCTGAGCTGCCAGTAAATGCGTCTGATCCGTTTTCGATGCGCCACCCTGTATAAATGTATAGAGTATTGCAAAAAATTACTCTTATAACTTAAACTCAAGCTTTCGAAGATCTATGTCTTCATCGTCTGGAGCTGGAAACAGGTATTGACAATAGCAACAATTAACAATTAGGAGGAAGAATAGTTACTTACTAAGTCGGCGAGATTGTTGCTGCTTGTTTTTAGACAACAGTGAAGGAAACTGGTATATTGGAAAAGAATTGTGAACCGAAATGATACATTAGGGTCATGCGAAATCCTCTGAATGTTTCTTGTTCCTTTCATTATTTTGATCTGTTTTTAGTTGAGTCATCATTATTACAAGTTTCTGTTATTTGATCACAGTCTTCTTGTTTTCGACACTTCCTTTAAATCAATGTGCTACAGATGTCACAGGCGAAACAATAATTCAGACGGTAAAGACGTAATGACGAAGAACATACTTAGTTTTTTGTCCCTTCAATAAGAATGATTATTACCAAATTACGCGGTTTTAACCAGTGTTTGTTATGCAGTATTGTAGTATCATTACGATAACCATTCAACCCTAAATGCATAGCAGTAGCAATACTAGTATGACATATTAATGGAGGATTCAAAAATGCACAATAGAAATCAAACCGTCATTGTTGTACAGTAAATCATACGTGTACGTGCAATTCGGGCGCAAAAGTTGTTCTCGACTACTAATATCAAACGTATGAAAATGGCGATTTATTTTATTCTTTATTTGTAGAATTTATTCCAGAAATTCTATTAAGCTTAACATCTCTGACTTTGTTACTAGTTTTTCAGCTAACCACAAACATAACCCATCTTTTGCAAGATATTGCCGACGTGGGCCAGTGCTAATACCGCATAAGTCTCATCAAAACTTTTTACGATGTTTATAATTAGATATCATCATTTATCTTCTATCAAAACAAACGCAAGCTCATAAAACTTACAAGAAAACACAATATACCTGTCATATACAATTACGTCTAATACGTAATTATTTTCAACCATTTACCTACGTATGAATTTACTTGAGAGCGTACAACATGGGAATATGCTAATGTGACCAAAACCCCACGAAAATATAACGAGAAACGCATGTCAGAATGAGTGGATGTTTGAATAACATCGTTTACATATCTACTGATCTTAACTATTCATTTACCACATAGGAGCTAGTAGCTTTCTGATGGAAGCAGATAATGCCCTCATTTCTGTCAAAGGTGATTGCTGAATATTGGGAAGTTGATTATATCAACGTAATTGGAAAGAATTGAACATTTATGTTAGGAAGTGAGCATATGGTGTTGGGTATTGAGTGTAACACAGATAAAATGGATATTAATCACGGTTAGGGTAAGTAGGTGTGGATATACGAGCCCCTGCCCACTTCATTTGACCCACTTCAAGATTTGTACCAAAATATGCCCTTATAAACTAGACTTAACGAAACTATTTACTTCTAAAACAATTTATTTTGTCGAAAACATTTTAGATACACTCTAGTCGTAAAAAAATACATATTTGAAATCACTTAGACCTATAACTAATAGCACATCTGAACAAATAAACAATGTGCAAATAAATGCGCTAAGTTAACAAAGCAAGAATTGAAAGATTACCATTGGTAACATCACCTTTATTTTTTATTACGGCTGAAATTCTTTGGGGCATAGTGTTAAGCAAGTTTTGGCAAAAATTTGGTGTAAAACAATTCCATATTTCTTGAATCTTTTGTCTCAGTTCGGTGATTGTACGAGCAGAACCTTTTTTATCTCGTGCCACAAAGTTTCAATAGATGACAGACCTGGACTGCTAGAAACCCATTTCAAAAGTGGTACATTATTTTCTTCCATCTATTTTATAGCCTTTTTTGAGGTATGGCACGCTGCACCATCTTGCTGAAACAGAAAATCTTGGCCGGATGTCAAACATTCTTCCATCACTGGTAAAAGCGATTCTTCTAAAATTGCCAAATATTTGTTTGTATCCACATTTTCATCAATAAAATGAAGTTTTCCTAGTCCTTTTCATGACATACTGCCCCAGACCATAATGGATGCTGGAAATTTCACTTTTCTCTTCAGACAGTCAACATGGAATGCTTAATTATTTTTGCGAATAACTCTACTGCGACTGTCACAACACAAATTCCGAATCGGGCCGCATCACTCCAATGTATTTCACACCATTGTTGAGGTGTCCATTGTCTATGTTCTTTAGCCCATCTAAGCCGATTTTTCTTTTGCAAAGGAGTTAATAGTGGCTTCTCTTTGGCCTATAAACAAGTTCTGCAACTTTATGGTTTTTACTTCACTTTTTTTTATAAGAAAACTTACCTTGCAAGTGCTAAATCCCAGTTTGTGGGCCTCTCTATGAGTTGGGGACCTCGAAATTCTCCAACAGCGTCACTCTACAGAGCACTTAATTGTAAATAATTGGCAGGCCTGTTTTTCACGATTATTCTTCTTAATGCTTTTAGGTCGGCATTTGTGATATTGCTTTTTTCACATCGTGGCTTAATATTAACTGAACCAGTTACGTTATATCTTCTAACAATATTTCTCACACTGTACCGCGATAAGTATAACAAAGTTGCAATTTCTGAGTTTGATTTCCCAGAATTAAAAAATTTAATTAGTAGTAACCGAATTTTCTCATTCCTTTACCCATTTTGAAAACCTTAACTACCCAAAACTATTTCGAACGTATTGTGACAGCTGTGATTAATAAAAACAATTGTCATGGTTTTTATTTTTCACAGCCACCTATGCGTTATACACTTATTTTGCATTGAAATGAAAATAGGTTGATATGCTGTAATTGCAACATGTGTTATTTTAATGCTGCAAAATTTGATTTGGGAGTGACAAAGTTGGTGTTTTCTACTATATATTATCAAAATATTCATTGTTAATATTTTAAACCTATAACACCCTGCTACATTTTTATTATAGTTGGGCCAACTGAAGTGGGAAGGAGCTCGTAGAGAAAATGTTACTTCGCATATGGGCTGACATAAATTAGGAGAGACCGGGGCTGGTAGCCGCACGGGTTGGTAGCCGCACTGGCTTTTTCCCCAAAACTATAAATATGGCGACAATGCCGCGTCTCGTGTTTTAAAGCTTAAGTCGCGCCCGAACTTTGTGGAACGTTTCAGTCTGATCAGTGCAATAGAAGTGAGTGCACGCCGTCAAGTGCTATTTTGATGCTCGTAAGTGAATTTATTTTTTCTATTGTTTTTATTATAACTTTTGATGTAAAAGTAAGAATATAAAACGAAGTAGACCGTCAGAATTCTACGGAAATCTATTTTTTAGTAACATATTTTTAATAACCACTTTAGTTACCAGACAAAAAATAAACGCAAAAGTATTTTAAAAAACGCTTTGGGGTGGGTCGCCGCATTTGTTGAGGGGCAGGTTGCCGCATGCGGCAACCATCCCCACTTTGGATTTTCATTTCTTTGGAAATCATATTGTTGCGACGCAAAAATGTATTTATTTATATATACGTAATTTTAACGATAAGCTTAGCATGAATAATTTAACTTCTAACATAATCATAGCGAATGACCACCTGTATCCGATGTAAACTATAGAAGTTACTCGTATTCCACGTAAATAGAAAAATAGGGTAAAACAAAAGTAAATCCCCGTATTACTGTGATGACGAGCAACTTCCTGTTTACCGCTTTTCATCCTTATTAGCTATCTCTATCTGGAAATCTCCCTTTCAACTTTTACGCTCATTATCCCTACCTTAGCTTCACATTTGCATCTAACTGGACCTAACCTGTATCCACTTTTCACTTTCACGCCTACTCTCGACTTATTCCCTTTAGCTCCACCCTTATGACGACCTATCTATACCTTAGCATTTAAACCTTTCTTAACACTCCTACTCTTCCCTAATCAACCAATAGAATAGCATTGGATAATATTAAACACATAGCTGCATGCGAAAAATATTGTATACGTCGACAGCATGACAGATTCGTCTCAACTTGCGAACGAGTAACACATAACTGTTATCTCCAACCACTTGTAACTCTTTATCGTATTACGCCATAAATTAAAATAAATCAATATATGTAAAAAATAAAGTCTTTGTAGATCAATTTGTACAAAGAAGAGTGAGTATACATAATAATAAATATATGTATATTTCACTCCTACACTCAACACATATAATTTGGAAAAACATATTTAAAAACGTTTTATTATCTTCATAGAATATGAGAAACCGTAAAAGAACCACTGAAAGGGGTAAGACACCAGCACACATTATGCTAAGGGCTGCAAGAGAGGTCAAATTAAATAATAAATCCATTAGAGGAGCAGGAACCGATTACGATATCCCTGAAAGAACCCTGAGACGATTTCTGCAGAAAGTCACGGATGAAGAGCTTTATGGCACTAATGAACTACCTACAACTGCAGTCGGGTATATAAAAATAGACAGGTAAAAAAATATAATTACTTATTGGGCACTTTAGTAAACAGTGTGCTTGTGAATTATTTAATACATTTTCAGGTTTTCTCAGACGACCAAGAGAAACAATTAGAGGAATATATATTAAAGGCTGCCGATGTATACTTTGGCTTATCACCAAAACAGATAAGAACTTTTGCTTATGAATGGGCTGTCTCACTAAAAATTAAATTTCCCGATTCCTGGAATACAAATAAATCCGCCGGACAAGATTGGTTTACCTATTTTATTAAAAGACACGCTGGTCTGTCTATACGTACGCCGGAAGCCACAAGTTTGGCACGAGCATCAGGATTCAATAAGCACAGTGTAGGAAATTTTTTTAAAAATCTGAAAACAGTTCTGCATAGGCTACAAATTGGTCCTCAGTATATCTACAATATGGATGAAACTGGAATTACGACCGTTCAAAAACCTGACAGAATTGTAGCAAGAAGGGGCTTTAAACAAGTAGGTCGAATCACCTCTCAAGAAAGAGGCACATTAGTGACTCTCGCGATAGCTGTAAACGCCATTGGTAATAGCATTCCGCCCTATTTTATTTTTCCACGCGTTAACTTTAGAGAGCACATGCTCTCTGGTGCCCCACCTGGAAGCGCTGGCGCAGCTAACCAGTCTGGATGGATGAAAAAGGAGCATTTTCTGCACTGGTGTCAACATTTTGTTAAGCACACTGGTTGCTCCAAAGAAAGGCCGGTACTTCTGTTGTTAGACAACCATGACTCCCATTTATCAATTGATTCTTTGGACTATCTTAAAGAGAATGGAGTGACGGTGTTGTCCTTTCCGCCACACTACTCTCACGAGCTACAGCCGCTGGACAGATCAGTGTATGGGCACTTAAAAAAATATGTAAATACAGCATGCGATGGTTGGATAACCAGTCATCCAGGGTCTAGTATGACCATCTACGATGTCCCTAAAATTGTGGCCGTAGCTTTGCCAAGCGCAATAACACCAAAGAACATAACAGCAGCGTTTAAAGTGTCAGGAGTTTATCCATTCAATGAATGTGTCTTTTCTGAAGACGAATTTCTCCCCTCTTATGCTACTGACCGCCCACTTATTGAGCAAGCAAAAGATGATGAAATTGACAGGAAACCTAATAATAGCCCTAAACCTGAAATATCTCAGGATACTAGTCCCCAACCAGGAACATCTCGGGATTATTCTGAAATTCTTAACGCTGATAGCTCAATGCCAAAAACTTCTGAGATAAACCCACCGCTCGAAGAAAAAACTCCGGAAAAGCAAATAACTAAAAATATTAACATATTAGCCAAAAAAGATACCGAGTTGAACACCCAAAAAAAAACAGTCAGTCCATTTGAGCTAAAGCCCCTGCCAAAAGCTCCACCAAGAAAAAATGAGAATAAAGGAACTCGAAAAAGGCGTCACACCGAGATTTTGACAGATACGCCAATAAAAGAGGCACTCAGAGATGAACAAACAAAAAAAGTTCCAATAAGAAAAGAGCTTAAAAATAACAAAGAAAACAAAAAACAAAATAAAAAGAAGAAAAATGTAAATAAAAAACAATTGGCTGAAGAATCGAGCGATGAAGATGAGTGTCTATGCGCTTACTGCCTTGATACTTTTACAAACAGTCGTCCGGGTGAGGAATGGATTAGATGTTTTTCATGCAGTGGGTGGGCACTCAAAGAGTGTGTGGGAGAAGATAACGCTCCTTTTTATTGTATTAATTGTATGAGTGAGTAGAGAAGTATTTGTAACTTAAAATGTTAATATTTTTTATTTTAAGTCTTTGTGACCTAAGTTCATTAAAGAGTTAGTTACCTAATTTTCTTATAAGTTTAACACTTAACGATAACTTTGACTGTTTTTTTAGTTTTACTTTTTATTACCTGAGTTCATTAGTTAAATTTTCTAATAATTTTAGGTTTAAAAAAATGTACCTATTTGATTAAAAAAAAAATAAAAACATTTTTCTTGTCAAAATTTAATATTTGAAAATAAAAAATCACACATTCTTTATTTTTTTACAATCATTTTTGTATGCGGCAACCTACCCCATGTGGTGCGTCAACCAACCCCGTTAGAGGGGTAGGTTGCCGCACTCTGCTTTACTGAAGGAAATATATATTTGTATCAAAACGATATGAGATAAGAAAACAAAAAAAAATATTTTATGTTGCAAATATATAGGACTTTTCACGGCAACAATGGGTTTTAAAAAATATTAATTATAGTAGCCGTCATAAAGTAAATTCAAAAAAGTGCGGCTACCAGCCCCGGTCTCCCCTATTGTGTGCCTAGGCGGCACGGAAACAAATATCTCATTTAGAACGCCAAGGACAAACTAACCCAACGCAATTGAGATGAAAATGGTTGCACCCATAGAAGTCTTTCCTCTTGTTTAAGTTCGATAAAATAGATCGTTTTTGAGAAAAACAGTCTTGTTTTAGTACAGTTCTATTAATTTTACACCATCTTGAAAATATAGTATATATGATAATAAATATGCAATGAGCGACCCGAAAAAACCCAGGACATGAATTTTCAGAATACTTGATTGAGTTTTCGATTTTAGTCAGACCTTTTGGAAGGTATCTGCAGCACAAATTAATGGGATCAGTATTGGAACAAGGCGAAGCTTTTTTTCGAAAACGACTTATTTTATTACAATCAAATATGAGTACATTTATTCGGCCCAAGCATTAGGCTGTTAAAAAGTATTATTTTTGGGTCACGATTATACAGGGTGTAAAAATATCAGCAATACTACGTTAGGGTCAGGCCGCCCTTGCCGTTCTAAAATATTAAAAGAAAAACATGTTTCCAATAGCTTGTGTGTAATTTCAGCCCAACCATATAATGATTTTCATCATTTTCGGTATTAATAAGTTGTATCTTTTTAAAAATATTTCACTCTGTTACAGCAACAAATGTTTTTTTCACAAGTATACACATATTACGTTTACTATGCTATACTTTTTGTATTATTCCTCATATGAATCTGGTACAGCGTGATTTACTGAGTAAGAAAGCAATTTTTCCAAAGAGAGGTAAGGCTTTTTAGTTTTAACATACACAATTTATTTCTTTTACTTAAGCAGCTACGAATAAAGAGCTTAAAAGTCAAATATATCCAGCATAACGAGGAAAAGTCTCCCCATTGCTTCTCATTCTCGATGCCATAAGAAGTGGCCAGAAACAATTATACAGCTCTGGATTGAGTTAAAATATGAAGTGAGAAGCTGAAACGCGATATTTGACAACCTCTTACCCCGAATCTCCTATTCCAAAAAAATGATTCATATGATATATCCTCGTGATGCTTCAAGATTTTTTACCAACCCTCTCCCTCATCGAGCATCACGCGATTGGTATACAACCCTTTAGATAGTGATGAGAGCTAAGCCTAAACAGGTAACCTAGGCTCTTCCTATAGTAGTCCTGACGTGTTTGTGTTATTTATTCAGTGATAGTTGAACATTCTTCCATGTTTGCTGCGGTTATATTTCGTTTGTAGTACCCAAGGAATTACAATAATGTCTGATACATGTTAGAAGAATTCCTCTTTTCTGAATATTCATTCTGATTTCAAAATATCACACTTTCTGTTGGGTACGAGCAACTATACAAGCAAAATGATCCCCAGCATATCGACGATAAAAGTGATGATATATACATGCAATTTTCACCTCAGCTTTCTTCGAAGTTGTGATATCTGAGCCACCTGTTCTCATGCATCACATATTATTCGTCCATAAACATGTCCCTTTTGAGGCATAAATCTCACTGTCTATATAAATGTTTGTATGAAATTACCCCAATGTGGAAAAAAGTTGAAAAGCTCAATAGCAGCAGTTACAATTACTATATGGCAATAAGAAAGGAATGTCCGTACAGAAACTGAGGTATGCTTGTACCTTGTAAGCTCAGAGACGTCACTATTGTATAAAATAATGCCATCAAGGTAGTGAGATGTAATAATCAAATAAAATTGAATGCAAATAGTTTTGGGGCCTGGCCATGTTGTAGTTTTTTAGTTGAAAGTTAGATAAATTGTTGTAGAAGAAAATTCGGGTTTTGAGGTATTATTAACCAGTTCCCGTTGGTATTGTTAGACTTAACAGCGATAACATGTACACTTGAACTCGTTTGTCAATTCCATATTATGACGTCACCATCAATTCTTATTTTTCTTATTACAAGTTTTTGATGTTTGACATTATATCTGATAGGTTTATTGCTGATTCACAGGGGTTATATTTCAACGAACTCTCAAAAAGCTACACTTAAATGGTGAGTTTTCAACAAGGGTTCAAATAAATGATACGTCGTAAGAAACAACAGTTAATTTGGCAGTCAATTGGTGAATCATTTCATTATGCTGCTGATGCCAGCTGAATGTTTGACCATTCGACTTTTCTCTGCAGGACATATGTCGGGGACATAAGGGCGCCACAATGAATTTGGATGAATTGTTTTCTCGAAAGTGCATAAATACATCCTGGGGTTTCCATGGGCGTATCTGTAGGAAAGCTTACACTTTTTTTTCTATCTGATCAATAAAGATAATCAGAGTATCACAGGACCAAGCTTAGAAGTCTCAGTAGTCGGCATATATCGTGCAGCTTCCACAACTTTCTCTGTCTGTTCACTAATCATTGACTCTGCTATAAATTTGACAGTATGACATGAAATTTTCACACAGGATATCTACTGTGTCAAAAAAATAAAAAAAAAACAAAAAGAAAAATCGTTGAAACTTTATTTCTTGACGTTTCAGAGAATTATGGTCATTTTTAAAAAAAATTGGGTAACATTCAGGGAATAGCGAGTTGTATGGGGAACAGTACATATCAATTTTTTGACTTTGTTATACTTCTAAGCCTCCAGCCGCTGTAATTCTGCGCACAATTTGGAAGGTGGGGAGGTATTTCCGACTCTCGCGTGTCAATCATACGCTTCGCTGTCCTGTCGATGCATCTGTGTAGCAGTCGGCCTCCGCTGCTCGTTTGGATGTGGACCGTCGATCGTCATCCACGCCAGATGTACACTTAGCTTTTCTCAGGGGAAGGGGGAATGGCCATCCATCGGATAGAGATAAATTTGTGTGAAAGCGTACCTACTTTTTGAAGAGACAGGAGTAACATATTTTCTTGTATTGTACAGAATAGCATGCTAAATATGAAAATTTAAATTGAAGCTGTTCAGCTTACTAGATCCATTTTCCTCACAGGGGTCAACTTGTGTTGAACATAATTATGAACTGATGAGAGCGTTGCGTAAGAGGTGCACAGTCAACCTACTTGACGCCATTTTCTTAGTTCATATTCCATGGTTAGTAAGAACAGATGATCATCTGTAGTCTCCTGGCATTTAATAAACAGCATTAATTTTTGGTCAGCCCGTCTTCTATCCTTTTTGTGAGGTTAGCTCCTTTACGTCACGAGCAGGTTGGAGATTATATTTGAGGTTATGAAAAGGATGTCAACTGCTGATTAGATGATTACGTCAGTGAACGCTGAAACTTAAAAAATAGGTTACCTTACTGTCAAATCTGTTTTTGTCCCATCTACTTTGGACCTCCAAGCACCGTCTGACAGAAGCAACTTTTGACATCGCTGCCATGACAGCTGACCAACAAGTCAAGCCGGCATGGGTGTTATGTGTCTTGAAAAGTGACACTATGTCCATTTTTTTGACATTTTATTGGTTTTTTGTTACATTATGTACGTTTTTCTACAAGATGTTAACTTAGCACTAGCTGATGGACACTTGTGAACTCGTTTTGTAGCTGTATGTGTTGCCTAAACGTCATGATGATTCATTTATCAATGTTTGGCTCTGATGTGATGTAAAATCTGTTTCAGAGATGGTTTTCTGGAGCTCTAAGCTGTCAGTTGTATACCATAACTAGAAGGAAACGGGAATGCATAGGTGAATAGTGAGGATTTGTGTGCTAATAATATGTGTAGATGATAATTCAATTGGTTTCTTGCCTCAAATATACTTACCTGAGATTCAAAGATAGAAATTAGTTGCGCATCCACTTTTTCTTATTCAGTCTGGAAATTACATATGCACAATTGCTGAATTTCAAACATGAGACAGATAAGAAATAATGATATTCACTGTACACTGTCGAATTACAAGTCTTAACAGTAATTACACACAATGCGGGCGCGGTAGTGATTTCCCGTAATTCTCCTCCAAGTTTTCGAAAACACAGAAAAACGTAAAAAATCGTAATTTATAACTCTGAACATAACCTATCTTCAGAAAGGACAACATATAAATAACCCGTCGGGATAATAGATATACTTCATTGGCAGCATATTCAGTAATGCCTTTCTCACACAGCAGATATCACTGATTTTATACACATGCTACCAATGCACATAATCATCCAGAAGCGATGTTACTATTGAACCAAATTTCTTCTCATAGATGAAAATTACAGACTACTTGGCTTCACAAAACATATGCAACCAACAATGCGTGTAATTGAGTCATTCCTCCATAGGTGGATGCTCACAACGATCCTAGTGAGTAAACGTGGAATGACTGCACCTTAAAAACTACCTAGTCTGCAAGATGAGATTTTGTTGAAGTTTTATAGGTTTTTTACATAATACCCGTGCGGGACTCAAACATTTTCTACAAAAGTTTGTCATTCCTAAAGCATGCGTCTTTCGTCGTTTCTTCTGTATCCGAGCACTTACAAAATGGAATTGGATGCCTTATTGCAATATTGACTTTCTACACTCCATGCAGTTGTTTTATGTGTAACTCTTCTACATGTATTTTTCCCTTGGATGACGCATTGAAAGTTGCCCTAACCTCCTAGACCCTGCTTTTCCTGATATGACATACATATAAACGTATTTCTAAGATCTGCCTTCTGTCAGGAGTCACCAACACTAC